GGTTTTTGACCAATTGCTTCGGGTGTGTAATCAGCGTGGCCTGTCTAATCTGTCCTGCCTTGGTCCTGCCCTGATAGTGCGGCTGTTGGAATCCTTCGTGATAGCGACGGTTTCTTTTATGTTTTGAGTTTGTAGGCGAGGGTTTTTGATCCGGATGGCCGAGCTTTTCCCTTGCACCTGTTGTTGTATGAGTAACTTAAGTAGATCTGGAGTATCCATGCCCCACTGATGGTTTGTCAATAGCTTGACGAACCGGGGAGGGTGTTCGTGTGTCTGGATACGAGCATGGTAGATCTGCTAGCAGCACGGGGGGGGTACGTAGACAGGAGCATGCGTATACCTGAAAAAGGCTACTATGTGTGGGCCCCCTTCCCCGAATTCGGGAGGGCCACTTCTTCCCTTCCTTTCCTCGCTCCCGCGGGTGCCTAATCAGAGAGAGTTAAAAGCGTGTCTTCTCCTCCCAAGTACGGACATACCAACAGTGCAGACCCACAAAGAGATAGGACATCATCATATGATCACCCCACCACACACTCACATCGATGGACAAAATGTTCGTTTTCTCGCTCGGTTGATCATCACTCCTCCTCCTATTAGTTGCGAGGACGTATGTTCCATCAGCTGCTCTCTGTTGGAGGGGCTGTGTCATTGATAATGATTCGATCAGTGCAGAGAGAGGTATAGCGTTAAAAGCACTGGCTACATGGTAAGAAGCTTGTAGTGAGCTGAAGTATGATTTATCTAACAGCTTGTCGACACTTGGCCAACTTCAGTTCTCAACCTCCGAGCGCCTACAGGTCTCTAACAACCACCCCCACCAGAGGCACCATACCCCCGGCTCCGGGAAGTATTTTTGTTATTGTTGTTTTTGCCAGTGTAGACAATCCCACAGAAGACCAAGCCGGTGATGAGGTGTAGGAAGTGGAAGAAATCAAACTGCCGCGTTCCATAGCTACTGCAAAGAGAGTCGAGTGCACCACAAGAAGCGTCTTGACAGACAGCGTGCTTTCGTTACTGAATGGAAAATATTTTTCTTTATTTCTCTGCAATTCTCGGTTATCGTAGGAAACGTTTCTTTGGTCAGTTACCCCGTTTCAAAAAGGTGTACAGTAAAGTATTGATTCCATTGGAAGTGGTCGAACTCTAACTTCACCGACATTTGTTGCGATCTCTGGAACCGCAGCAGGGGCCACCGCGAAATCAGCAGCAGCAAAGGCAGAAATCGAAGCAGGCGGTCAAAGCTGCAGCAGCAGCGTTGGAATCAGCTAACAACACGCCAGTCGTGAGGGACAGGTATGCCGTTGACTGACACTGACTGGTTATCGATCCGGAACGCTTAGCAACATGCGCGCTGTACACGTTACCCACCTATTTTTCGTTAATTGCGTTTTGTCGTGCATATCAGTGCATATCGGTGGAGTGGTGTGATGGCTGCGGGCAGGATGATCTATCGCGTACAAGATTGGGGTGGAGCATACACTGTTTTTTTGCTGTAACCTGAAAAAGGTGTACACCTGTGGCACGCTAGTGCGTACCCGTGGCAGCTTCTGGGCCAAACTATCGAACCTGAGCCCGCCCTCGTTCAAGCACAGGTGCACGCGTGGTGCACGAGGAGCACAGCGAAGGACCAGGTCGCACACTGGACGCACTAATTCGCACTGTTACAAAGGTGTGCAGCAGCATAGCGAAGAGCTGCACATACGTATGGTGGATATTCACGGCAGGAGAATGTCTGGTGGCGACAGTAGTGGCAGAAAGGTTTGAGGCGAGCATGAGGCCGGCAAACAACCGAGAGGGTAGTAAGGACGGTGTTTGGGGATGAATAACAACCTTCGCCATATGCAATCAGCTGGTCTGTCGTCTTAACTACATGGCCTCGTTTCGAGACATTCACTGAATTCGGAACCACGGTGCTTGTGCCGATCCGTTTCGTGTTGCACACAGGCTCAAATGTCATCTGCAGGATTGGAAACCCAGACAGGTGATTTTGCTGGGGCTGCTAAGGTGAGCCTTGCGTGCCGCTGCAAACGATGGACTGCCAAACCCGGTTGAAGGCAGCGCGCAGCCGGAAAAAACGATTGTGTTTATTGAGGCGTTTCGAGACTCGATTTGTACCTTAAGTACATTTCTCATTTCGCTCACGACCAGCTTGCAGAATTGTAGCAAGTTGTTGTTTCATTTACTTGGGAAAACCCGAAGCGGTGCCTGTTTTTGTGTTGGATGGCGCTGACGGCATAGACGGCGTCCAGGTCAATGAAGAGGAGGAGGAGGAGGAACAGCAGCAAGAGCAAGAGGGTGGACAAGGAGAGGAGGTGACGCTAGCGTTAAGATCGGGTACTTCATGTACAGCAGCAGGTTGCACCCATTTGATGCCTGTCGCACCGAACTGCTAGCGGTAGAAACCGCGTGCATTTTGCTCAACTTCCAATGCTGGATGAAGACAGGAACACCGTCAGATCGACGTGCGTTGAAGGTGGCCGCTCTTCTCGATACAACCATGGCCAGTTTTGTGCCCAGCGTAAATACATCCGTGCAAGCCAACACGCACCATTGCAAAGTCTCCCTCAGTTGGTTTGGATACATGGTGGGTAGACTGCGGGGATCATTGAAGTATCCAAGCCTATCTCTTCTATGCCCTTTCCGCACCAACAAGCCGTGTTAATGTTACCCACCTTTGTTATTCTCAGATACTGATGATGACTGGGTTATGCTCGATCCTGTGTGTAGCTCCAGAATCGTCTTTTGGTGATGGTGCTTGCGACATCAACGAGTCCCAGTTTTTGCAGTGTTCGCATGACTCGCTCTCGGCAAGGCCAGGCAAGCGCAAGCGCGGGAGTATGGCCAACGCACTCCGCCGGTACAGCGTCTGGACAGCCAGCTGCCGGCAGCCCGACCATGCTGAGAGGTGACAATCAGTAGTACGAGGTAACGGTATTCGATCGAAGCTTCATCGCGAGATGCGGAGACCAACCGCCTGTAATTGTGACCCTTCGTGGGTTTCAGTTGATCTTTCAACTTGGTTTTCAAACCGGCGGCAATCCGTTTCCCGAGATCTTCATACCCAAGATCTGTGGCCCCGCTGGTTGGCAAGGTCTCCGACCGGTGTCGATTTGAACAGTATTTTAACAGCATGCATAGCGGGTGGCATGCAAAGGGGGAGGTCGCGCCAACCAAAATTTGAGAAGAGAGAAATGATGAATCTCTCTCAGGTGGCAACAAACTGCCGACTTCTCGGGACACGATTCGAAATACTGTCCATGTATCTCGCAACGCTGTCGGCTTTTACCTGACAGCACACACACATTCACAGGAGCGCAACCAAACGCCTGCTCCTGCTCGTGCGAACCCGACATCCCTCTGTATGGGTTACCCTGCCGCAGCTGTTTGGATCTTGTACCCTGAGTTTCTTAAGCGTCCCCTTCCCTGACGAGAAAATGGCGGGAAAATACGACCCTTCCATCTGCCGTTTTGTCCAAAGAGCTCGACTTCCGCTCTAACCAAAGGACCTCAACACCCGAATCTCGTAGCTCCAAACAAATTGTTGCAACCGAAACTTGGCAGGCACTCCTGGTGCAACGCAACGTGATTGACACTTCGACTGAGACAAATCATGCACATAGCAGTGCAGAAGCGTATTGGGTAAACGTGCCGTGGCCGAGAGAAGGGGGGTGGAGAGGCACATGTACCGAATGATGAATAATCGTACATAGATTGTGGCGTTAGACACACCACAATACCCTCACACTCACCTATCCTACATCCTATTCATGCCGTTGTCTACTTGCTTTGCACACACCATGGTACAGATCACTATCACGGAGATTGTAGGATTGACTCGTTTGGTTTGCCCATGTTCCAGCATCACGGTTCCTCGGTTGCAGCTGCGAATTTGAGAAACGTTGACCAATCGTCACTACCATGACGTACCAGTCACGAATACGACTATCGCCCTAGCTATTCACGCGTACGTTTTCGTGATGAGCCGTGTCGTCCGTGTGTGCTTCTCTCGCTGTCTCTCTTTCACCACACATCCCCACCCATTACTATTCTGCATGTGATGCCTACGTGGGCGTGTCATCCATGCTGTATTCGAGTACGGAGCTTCTCGGCTTTCGGTTGCCATCATTTGTATAAAGCTATAGTATGTGTGTGTTGATGTCCTTGGAGCAGAACGAGTTCTGAGGAGAAAATGACACCTGAAAGGGTCATATTTCCCATCAGGGCACGGAATAAATATGGAAGACAATCAGGATACCATTCGTTGCCGACAGAATCCGCCACGGCGGGGTACACACGTCGGGCTCTTGTGATGCGGTAGGGGGAAGTAGGTGTCGACCAATATCAACTTCCTCCCCCCTCCCTCAAAAGACAAGGGTTGATGAAGGTAGTTTTTATTCGGGGCCGATTCTCAAACGCCGGCTGTTCGTAGGCGTTCTATCCTCCTCTCTACCCAGCAGGGGAAATGAACCATCGACGCTTCACACTGACCTATGGTCCACCCCTGGGGATTGGCATTCCCAACACCGATAAATCAAGATCGTCTCGATCGAAGCACCATGCTACCGTACCTCTCTAGCTTCGATAGCTTCCTGGACGTTTCAGACGTTGCTCGCGGCCGCTGCGGGCTCTACTCGTTTGGGAATATCGTGGCAAACACAAGATGGCCTATACTGAGGCCATCACGTACACGGCTGTCTTTCTGCACTTGTTATGTGTCGAGGGGCCACAATGTCCTAACCCATAGTGGCAGCACTCAATATCTTGAAGTTCTAACCCCCTCCGTGGTGTCTTGTTATCTCTCGCCTGGGTATTTTTTGTCTTTGATTGCCTGCTCAACAAGAGCGTCATCCAAGCGCCAACGGAAGGTCTCCGCACCAGGATTAATGGGCGGTGGGAAGGCGGCAACACGCAAGACAGTGAGTTCGGTGAAAGCATTCGTTCCTCTCGCGTTTGTTCGCGAAGAATTCATTTTTTTGCGGCTGGCCAGTGCGTGATGTCCTCATGCTTGTTAAGCATGTCACTCCCTCTTTGCCTGCTCCGAACAGCCGATGATTGGTTTCTGTTGGTGGTGGTGTAGGTTCGGGAACATTGCTGCAGGGCACCCTATCAATAGTACATCTCTGGCGGAATCGAGCCTCGGTAAAAGTGTCTACGCCGAAAGGAAATCGGCCATGCTTGCATCGCTAGCCGAGTCTTCACCTGTGTATGTTGCCTCTGTTTCCGACGGTCCCTACAGCTATTCTCGAGAGCGTATTGAACGTCAAGGGAAATACACGCCGACTTGAAACGCGCTTTTGTTCTGCCGGTGACCGATAGGTCACAACCACTTTACGCTCAGACTCCGTTGGTGAACGGGGGTTATGTTCTGAGTGCAGTCGAATGAGGGAGGCAAGGTCTCCCATAGCTCCAAACGTCCTTCCAATATACGATGGACGGCGGAAACCTTCGGTTCGAAACCCAAGGTCGAGGTATTGTGGAAGGAGAACGCGCTTGAAGCACCGACTGCACAGCGCATTCATGGTGTAGCTGACGAAGAAGACATCTGGTCCAAGGCTTTGGCGATGGCGTTCTCGCGTGAGGCGACCATTTAATTATGGCACGGACTTGCCTTCCGTGAGCTTGAATACTAAATATCGTAGGGTGACGACAAGGGCAGGGCACATTATTCTGGTGGTGTAACAAAGGCGAGTGCCTCTACCCCGGCGACAAGCACAGGGTGAATTCCGAACGATCTAGAATCTAGAACGGAGGCAAGGAGATCATTTTGCGGATGTGTGTGCTGTGAATTTGAATTTCTCTCGCTGCTGCCCGATGTCGCTCGCGTGGTCGCTGGAATATCGACCTAATTTACTTTCTGGAATGTCGTTTCTGCTCGACCGTGTTTGAAATCACGCTTTTCGGCAGTCATCGCATACGGCGGCCAGATATCTTGCCCAGGGACAAAAAATGTTGCCAGGAGCACGGCTGTACAACACGGCCATCGTACGGCACAAAGCCCACATCAAGAATGCTGAGTTCTGTTCCCAGCACAAGCAGCAGGATATGGTCAATGTCGTGAGCAAGAGATGCGGCCATCCAGGGTGCACCAAGCAACCGTCATATGGTAGAGCGGGCAGCAAGAAGCCGGAGTTTTGTGCCCAGCACGCACAGCAGGACATGGTCGGTGTCGTGGGCAAGAGGTGCGGTCATCCAGAGTGCGTTGAAAACCCGGCATTCGGAAAAAATGGCAGCAAAAAGAGGGAGTTTTGTGCCCAGCACGCCCAGCAGGACATGGTCAATCTCGTGAACAAGAGGTGCGGCCATCCAGGGTGCACGAAGCAGGCGTCATATGGTTGAGCGGGCAGCAAGAAGCCGGAGTTCTGTGCCCAGCACGCGCAGCAGGACATGGTCGATGTCATCACCAAGAGGTGCGGCCACCCAGGTTGCACGAAGCGGCCGTCATCTGGTAGAGCGGGCAGCAAGAAGCCGGAGTAATGTTCTCTGTACAGCGAGCGAGGTATGATCAATGTGCGACGTGCGTAACGCTAGGAGAAGCGCTAACACGTATTGCCGCAAGTATGTGTGGTGTCCTACCCTTCCGAAAGGTGGTTGTGTGGTGGCTCGCTTGGCAAAGGGGTCCTTCACAAACGTTGCCAAGTGTGAACCGTGTACTCGGGATCGTTTTTGGGCAGGAGTACGGTGACAGGGATACTCGGGGGTCTCGGGCCCAGTGTTAGTGTAGGTTTGCAAGGATTGGGCGATGCAATCGAGTGGAGATCACGGAACCGTATCAGGTTGACGTCATGCACCGTTGGGGCAACGGGGCGGGAGCACGCCCACTATTGTCGTGCTTGCAGTAAATTACAGATTATCATAGCACAGCGGGATAAAAAGATGTTGTGTCGGTAATGTGACCCGAACCAGTTTCGGTTCGAGGAAGTCATATTGGATTCTCTCGTTCGGTGCTGCTGAGGAAGCTCCGATTATCTGTTTGGCGGCGGAACCATCGTCGCGTGAAACGTGTGCGGTAAATGATCAGCCAGCTCCTTTGTAGGAAGTGCCCTGTCGAGGAGGTGGTGGACTGATCCGCCCTGGGTGGTGCCATTATTCTGTTGGGGCGGGCAATGTAGTCGAAGCTTGGTCATGAAAATGAATAAATGCGCTAGGTAGGGTGGAGGATGGACTCCCTGTCCCCCGACCGGCCTGGCGCCGAGAAAGTCATACAGATAAAGGTGCGCATTAGACGATGGGTGCCGGGGAAGAAGCGATAGGTAGGGCTTGTCACTCATGGGTGTGCCCTAAAACAACTTCAACGCTTGACTTACGTGCACCTACCTGCCTTGACTAGAGGATTCTTGCCTCTCCAACCCGACTTTGTCTGACTGTAGACTCGCATACTTCTGGGTGTGGTTGTGCGAGCTCAGTTGGGGCGTCCCTGCTGTATGTTTGCTCGTTGCCTAGGATCATTCAATGTATGTACTGGGTTCTTGGGTGAGGCCTCGAGCCCTTAGGCGTGCGGTTCCACTGATGCATTGCCGCGCGCAAACTGCGGTCGGCGCGGCTATGAATCTGGAACGATCCCAAGGCGTCAAGCGTTTACTCACACTACTGTAGTAGCAGGGTGGTTGGGCGGTCTCGAAAACATTTCTCTCCGACCTGGTGTTTCTGGCACACTCACGGGAAGGAGAAAACAATGATCGGCGGTATGCACATTTCAACACGTCAGCACACACGCCTCTATCCAATTTTCGTTTCGAATTCGAAATCGTTTGCCGCCCCGATACTACGCGTGCAAACAATTGTTGGCTTGGTGTACAGGCTCGAAGGATCGACGTTGGCTGTCCACGGCGAGGGTGCAGCAGTATTCCAGCTGGTCGTGTGCTAAGTTTTGGTGGCCACGAGGGAGCGTAGATGTTGTTAGGTGGTTATTGGGCGGTGGGGAGGCCTGTTGACGTGAGCTTGAATCCGGCCCGAGTCCAGAAGCAGCGCTAAGAGTAAGTGAGTGAAATCAGCGTGTGGCAGGTGAAGATCCAAATCGTGGTTGTTTGCAACCACGGAAAACATTTGTGCCATCATGTAAGAGGTTCACGTGTTCTAGGCCACCGTTGCCGTTGGGATGGTATATTGGGGCGCTTCCTCCTTGCGCACGCGAAGTAGTTTGTAGATGAGCACGGAGAGGTTGAAGCTAAATTGTAGTCTTCTTGGTTGTTCTAGAGGATGCATTTGAGGCAAACCCTTTTTCCCCAATTACAAATTGGGGTTGGTTTCAGTCAGCGCTTTCCCGGAAAAAAGCAAAAGAGAAATCTAATTATTGTTTTCCTGCTGCAACTAAATGAAAAATGTATATGGTAATCCATTCATTCATTAATCAAATGAAAATTATCATCGCAATCCACGAATTTCCGTACACTTCAATCGAGTCAAAAATATGATTGCAATCCATACGCTGATTAGACTAGATGAGAGATGTTGGTTAAACTACCAGAAATCCTCCGCTCTTCTAGTCTACCGATCCAATCAATCCCCTACTACCGGTGGCGTTGTCGCCTCACTACATAGGAAATACCGTTCTGGTCTCCGCCGTACCGTTCCAAGCATGAGAAACGAGTATCCGTGGACTCAAGCCACTGAAGAACACTACGCACACAACAGCAACAAAGTCCTGAGAAACTATACCCTCCTCTTGGGGAGACACGAACAGAGGGAGGGCAGGCAAAGCACACCCAGCGAACTAGAGTACTTCGAAGTATAATTTACTTGTACATTTACATCATCTTCAACTTGCGTACAGTATGGAACCAATCAGGCCTCTCCGCTGAGGCATGGGGATAGCATCCATGCTCGAAGCCCCGTGGGTCACTAGTTCACAACCCTAACCCCACTCTTGTCGCCTATAACCTTGAGTAATCTGTTTGTGGAGAAAGGAGCTCAAGCCAATCGCCTTGCCGGCCGAAAGGCAGAAAGGGCGGTATTTCGCGAAAGAGCATGGCCAACACAGCAGTAACCAAAGGAAGAAGACGGTCTCCTTGCACCGTCATGTGATGTTGAGGAGAACAATGTAGCATAATTTCTTTTGCCCACCAAGGCCAACCCCCCCCCCCCTGCCCCCTCGCCGCTGCACTCCGGACATGTCAAAACGGCTCTGCAAAATTCTCAAAATTGAAATCAAACCGACCTTGCACATATTCAAGTATGAAGTACGTTCTCTTGTAGACACCATATCTCCACGCGCCTTGACCGCGCGCCAATCGTTCTTCGTTGTTGGAATTGTCACCAAGAATGCAAGCACCTCCCCTTACATACAGCTTGCCTAACGGGGATCGGCCGGTGGTCGGGGCAACCCGAACCTCCCCCAAGATGTCACTGCTGTGGCTTGATTGCAGCCAATAGTCTAGCCACTCAAAGGAAACGAGTGGGCAGGAATAAAAAACAGCTCGAGGTAATATAAGCAGTCCAAGCCCACCAACCCCGAAGGAAGCAAGAGGCTGTCGCGAAAACTATCAAAATCACCTGAAGAACGAAGATGGCACGACCAGTCACCCTTTGACAACCCCAACTTTGTTGTCTTCTATACTTCCGCCCCTTCCACACTGCGCCGCACTGCGGCTCCTCTATTCTGTTCCGCCAAAGTTTCTTTATTGACTTGTGTAAGTTTCATATCGCGTGCCGCCTGCTAGTCTGCCCTTGCCCTTTGTGAAACGACACCATGAACCTCGCGGCCACCAACGCAACTGGTGGCTTCGCTGAAGCACTTCAGGTCCTTTCGACATCGTGGCTATACCACGTGTTCGCGAACCAAGGTCCAGTTTCAGAATAGCTACAGCAGTGGTCAGATAGAGCTGTTGTTTCGTGCTTCGCCGGCCCCAGGGTGCACATAGCGCGTCCACCTACTGTGACACCGCGTTGACCCCCCCCTCTCATCCCAGGCCAAAGATAACACGCGTAACCAGCACATGTTCGCCCTTTTAGTTCGTCAAAAAGACAAACTTGTGAAAAAAAATACGTACTAACACATACCGTAATACAAGCGTACCACGTTTACTGTGACAGTTATCCAAGCGTGCATGTGCAAAATCAAATGAGCGGTTCCAGCTGCTCATCGTAGCGCCTGACAACACACGCGCGTGGTTCATCAGCTGAACCAACTGCTGAAAGATATATATCCAAGTATTATACGTTGCCCGACAAGAGCCACACTCGAACCTCTTGAACTAAGAAACGCTTTGCTTTTTCGATACTTCGTGTTCGTTCGTGGTGCCGTTCGAAGGGCCTCGCGAAGAACAGACAAAAACACAAAACAGGCGGGTCCGAGAGAAACGTTACCGGAACCCGTCTAGCCAGGCCACTCTCTGTCTCCCGCGATAGGTTTCATGTTCGGTTACGTACGCATTTAATACTGTAGCTAGGACAAATCTTTCCCCCTTCTGGCATGCCTGACAGGGGACAAATATAAACATGAACAGAGGTCTAGGCATGAAATTGTTGTCTTTGCCACATTAAAGCAGCAACAACAAAACACCTAGCAGTACGGGAGCCAAGGAAAGTGGAAGAGGTTCCCACCAAGAGACTCGTCGACACCCGATGCTTGTACTTCCCCAGTGGCTCTTTCCCCTCGCCGGCACTCTACACTCTGTAACAACCAGGGCAGAAGAAAAGCGCCGCGTAAGAGCGTTATCAGCTTCTCTCCTCCTCTCGTTTTAGCGGAAACCTACGTTGCGAACGATTTGCACGGTTGGGGCAATGGGAGCAGGGAAAAATCAACAAGGCGTCAAACACCAGAAGACTGCGCATCTTGGTAAGGTCTTGAGATATATGGAACAAACACTTCACGCAGCCCCATCCCAGCGCCACTTTTCATCGATTCCAACATGAGATCGATTTTATGTACTTGTAGTTGGCTACTTCACTGTTAAATACCATACGGGTGGGGATGTTGCTCCTTCGGCATTCGTTTTCTCTGCACGTTCTGAGAGGAGACATAGCCATCACAAAGATTGGCCTGATATCCTATCATATTTCTTTGCGCTCGTGGTGACTGAATGAACCACCGATGGGTCGATTCCCCACAAGAACGTACGTTTGTCTGCACAGAAGCCGTGGTAGTGAGAAGCGAACCTGGCATACCTGCTACCGGGGCTTGCGGCCGTGCGCTCGCGCCGATTCTGTTGAAGTAAGTGCTGTGTGCAATATTTGCGCTGTGGTCGGCGTGGTTGTGCCCTGGACCCACGTTGTGCACATAGTTGCTGTAGCTGTTGTGATCGATACCGCTGTTGCTCATCATGCGGTGGTGGTGAGTGGGAGGTGGAGCACGAGCAGTGGAAGAAGCGTGATCGTAGTGAGCCATAGAGGCCCCACCGTTGCCATCCTCGCCATCGTCATCATCATCTTCGTCGTCGTCGTCGTCTTCGTCTTCATCCTCTTCTTCCTCCTTTTCCTCCTCTTGCACCGCGTGCCCATGAAATAACGCCACCTGATGAAGTTTATTAAAGTCCGAACAGGTGCACTAAAAACTGTATCCATTTGCAAGCACTGAATTGTTCTTACGCACCCAGAGCGGCTTTGATTATGCAACGTATGTCAGAGGGGTGAAGGCGCGCAAGGTCAAGAGGAGGGGTGCGAACGGGTCTTTCGTTGAACCGTATTTCGCCTGACCATCGCCGTATCAGGTCACCAATGAGATCGCTGGCTTCGTTTTCAAGAAGTCCATCTTTATATTATCCCCGCAGATATATTCTTCGACAGGTTTTCGGAGTTCGCGTGATGTCACTCCCTCTCCTACATATAGTTCAACGTGTCTCTGGTCCATAAGTCGCTTGCAAAGCGTATTTTTATTCTCGCCGCAGCTCCCACGGAGATTGTTTCGTGTATTCGGCCCACAAGTATGGTCGTAGAGAACATTGTTGTAATTCATGACGATAAGTTGGGATTGTTGGCGTTAGGGAAAAGGAGAAACCACCTCTTCCGCGCATCGTATATGGGATAGGGCCATAGAACTACATTGAATTTCTCAGCTTCTCCAGCACAATGCTTGTTTACTCGAAGAGGTTCGAAATGCGAGTGTAGACCAAACCATCGGTTGTGCGAGTAATGTTGGACAACAGGAGAACGTGCTACAGCGATGCCCCACCTCCTGCAAGATCATGTCCCGCAGCTGTTCTTGGTGCATGGGCTCACTCTCGAAGTCAAAGTCGAAGCCTGGGGCCACCTCCGGGTCGGGGGGTACGTGGATCCTCCCACTACGTTTTTGGAGAATGAGAGAACACGCGAAGGGCGAAAGCGATGGCAAGAGAGAGAGAGAGAGCGCACGAGATATGTAGACAAAAAGGGAGGAGGGGGCAGAAAAGGGATGAGGGGGTGACATAGGCAGGGATGACAGACAACGAGAGAGGTAGAGGGAGAGCGAGAGAGAGAGAGAGAGAGAGAGAGAGAGAGAGAGAGAGAGAGAGAGAG